GAGTCTCCAAAGTTGGAGCACTGTTGGTGAATTGGTGAGAGGATGAGCTGTATACCTTCACTGCCATTGTGCTATTGCTGGGTGTCCAGTGCGTCCCTATACATTTAAGGAAGGGTGGGCTCACTCCAAGCATACCTGCCCTCAATCTATCCGTTATTATATATGTGCTTCAACTTTGGAGACTCTCAAAATTTATAGAACTGCAGACAATGGGGTGCCGAGACATTGCCTCTGCAGCTTGTGCATATATTTGCAAATGTGTGCAAACTAAACCCCTTGTTTTAACATGAACTGTTAGACAGGGTAATTTGGTTTGTTGCAGGTTGGCTGGTAAGTGAGCTGGGAATTTTTGTTTGTTGTTTTTAAACATTTATGCTCACCTAGGCAGTTGCAACATCGATCCGTTGTCGCATCATTCCCCCGCCGGCTGTACATTGAGAACTGAGTGATCAGAGACTGCTGATCGCTCAGCTCTCCTGTCTGCTCTGAGCACAGAGCAGTGACTGTCAGTCACCACTCTGTACTCGGCCCCTCCAGAGCTTATTTCACTGCCAGGCTGTGCAGGGGGCAGGAGCAGCTAGCTCAGTCTCTCAGCAGCATACTGAAAAGCTGAGCCAGCTGCTGGTCAGGCACCTGAGTGGATTCCGACATAAAAGTTGGTATCTCTCCAGAGTCTGGACTGGCTGGGTGATGTCAACCAACAGTGGACTTAAAGTGTTGCTAAATGCACAACAGTAAAAGCAGTCTGTATATGCAGTAAAGCATGCTTGTTATCCTCACTGTGGAACCTAAGGGGTTAATCCTCTGCATTGTGTAAAAAGGCTGTTTGAGCCTGACTTCTCTGATCCTCCCCTTTTTCCAGTGCCCCACTCTTATCTCCTAATAAGACATATCGTGTGGAGTCACTCTGCACATGCACAGTTTGGTGTGTATTGATAGAGATGTTTTCTTTTTCTTGGGAGAGTGCAGGTGATCAGCACAGAGCCAATTAGCACTGTCCAGACAGAGGTCAGGGGTTCTGCATCTTCCTAGAGCAAGCTTTTACAAGCTTTATCATGTGCTCTGCTGGCAAGCTTTAACATGTGCTCTGCTGGACACTGATAGAAATCACAAGCGTGTTCTAACTGCTGATGAGAAAAGGTATTTACCAGTTTATATTTACTAAAATAATTGCACTTCCATGTTCTGTGTATTGTGGGAGACCAGATATAGTGAATGCAGGGTCCTGGGTTTAGTAACACTTTAAGCCCGCTTTCGCCTGAATATGGGTTGCAGCAGTGCGAAACAAAGAGCTTTGGTCATACTTCTCCTTTTAAGTCTTTTTTTTTTTTTAACACAGCTTTGAAATCACCCGTCTGAGATTCAATACAGATAGTTTGAAAGTCATGCTATGACTTCTCACATTAACCTTAATACTACTTTATAGGATGGTTTGATGTTAGCTGAGACAATGGGGTTGAATTACTTTAAGCTGATCTTTACTCCCTTGACGTACTTGATATATTTTATTTTCCTCCTCCCACTTCCTGTTACACAATTAGAGATTACAAAAAATAAATTTTGACAAAATCTGATTAAACAATCAATTTCTGTTGAGCGGAGATGATGGTTACACAGTGATTGATATTTGTCCGGCCTCTGCTGAACCTAGCAAATTTCAATCAGTGCATGGACAGTTTTTAGCCCTGCCTCACACTGCTGCGAATTGCCATGCTACTTACAACACAAAGTCACATGACAAGTCAAAAGACGTTTATTTGAATTGTAGTCATTCCAATCAACGCAACTCAAGTCACAGTGACTTCAAAAAAGGTTCCTGTACCTCTTTGATGCAACCTCCTCACAGACTTCAGTCTTCTCCCAATTTATGGCCAGACTTTTCAGAATATATGTATAATTCACTTTATTGTAGAGAGTAGAGGTGTATGTACATGTGCTTTGTGCTCATAGAGATGCGCTTGACATCCAAAAAAACATAATATGCTGGACACAGATGGTACTCCTGTCCATAACCTGCATGTATATCCAATAATACTGTAGACAGGCTCCTAATAAAGTACCGAATGAGAAAAAGCCTCCTTCCTAATAAGAAATTCTCACTTAATGTAACCAGGGGTGAAAGAGGACCACCATTCTTATTTTGCTCAGTCTGCCCTCAAAATCATGCATAGAGTCAGTGGTTGCACAACAGAGCTTAGCATCCCACCTGACTAGCAGTCTGAGTGGCCCCCATAATAAACTATTGACAAGTTCTGTCTTTTCTAATTCAGTACCTACATTATATAGCCCTGTCTCAATTTGTCATAAGGTTAAGGTAGCTCTCCAATAATAAAATCACAATAAAAATTTGCACAACTTAATAAGTGAATAACTCAGTAGGAGAGTTACTATCCAACCTCCCTGAAGAGGGGGATTTCACTAGGGCAGTTGTTAGGAACTGCTCTGTTAAAAAAAAAGTTGAGGAGGAATGTAATGTCTGTTGGAATAGATTCAAAGCAAGGAGGTATCTAGACAAGGTCCTTAAATGCGCATACTACAAGGCAAAAATATGAAACTAGATCATTTGCTTGTAGAAAATGTGAATAGGGATCAAAATGACCTAGTCCAGAGTATTGGTGCTTACTCAGCACAGTTACACAAGATATATGCAATCTTCCAGAAATACTGGCTACTCCTGCAACAAGATAAAGATCTGAATTAATACCTGGCAGAGAGATCAATTATTACATATAGGAGAAGGAGGAATTTACGTGGCAAATTGGTACATTTGAACAGGATTACGAGCAAAAAGAGGCAACTGTGATAGAAATGGCTGCTTGGTCCACCAATAGGATTACATAGATGTAGTCACTGTAAGGCATGCAAGTGCATGCCGAAAGTCAAGGACTTTGAAAGCCCCAAGAATAAAGAAAAAATAGAAATCAAAATGTTCCTGAATTTTTATTTCATCAGCATTGGTGTATGTGGCCAAGTGTCCAGGCAACCTTGTTGCATGTTGACAAGATTTTTAGGCCATTGAGAAGGAGAATCTTGGAACATAATAGTGATATACTATACCTCTTACAAGTATAAATCGATACCACATCACATGTGGGAAATGCAAGCAGGAAAAACAGAAGCTGTCAAATCCTGGGGACCTGAAAGTGTAAAACTTGGACCCAGAAAAGGAGATATAAATTTAAAGCTGGTAAAAAGGGAGGGAGTGGATTTTTCAGTTGGGGACAATGAGTCCAAATGGTTTGAATGAGGGTTTCACATTTACCCCATTCATTTGAAACAAAGGTAAATAACCCTATTCCTGGTAAAATGTTCTATCTGGTGGCTTAGAATTGCTGAAACTGTAATAAAAGAGAAATGAAAATGCAAATCATATGATAAATGGAGAGATATTTGGGTGTATATGTACATAGTGAACAGTAGAGGGCACATGAGGACCTGCAGTGAGGTTCCATATGGTTATAAAGGAGGCCTATGGACATAGGAAAACAATGGGGATGCTCTGGCCGATGAAGACTCAGAGTAGTCTATAAAAAATCGTTTGGCACATGGGGAAGGCGCCATATTTATTTATTTTTCATTTGAGCACATGCACACATCCTGCTTGTTATTTCACCCCTGACTACGCCACGTGGGGTGCAGTGAAACATTTTGGGTTTCCTTTTTCCTGAGCTATGCACTTGTTAAGTTGTGTAATTTCTTAATATGATTTATTTTATTATTGGAGAGCTACCTTGACCTTATGACAAATTGAGATAGGGCTATACAGTATATGTGCTGGATTAGAGAAGACAGAAGACAGTCAATAACTTATTATGGGGGGGGGGCTGCTCAGGCTGCTAGTCATGTGGGATGCCGAGCTTTGTTGTGTAGCCACTGACTCTATGCATGATTTTGAGGGTAGACTGAGTAAAATAGGAATGGCGGTCCTCTTACACCTCTGGTTACATTAAGTGGGAATTTCTCATTAGGAAAGGGACTTTTTCTCATACAGCACTTTATTGGGAGCCTATCTATTATTGGGTATATATACGCGTGCTATGGACAGGAGTGACATCTGTGTCCAGCATATTATGGTTTTCTTGGAGGTCAAGGCACATCTCTATGAGTACAAACCACATGTACATACACTTCTACTCTCTAATATAGAGTGAACTATACATATATTCTGAAATGTGTGGACATGCATAGGGAGATGCATGTGAAATCCATTATGCTTTTGTAGTGCTATTGATGTCCTGGGTGCAGAGTTTTAATCTAAACAAAAATCTTCTAAGTATGTCATTCCCTCAATTTATATCAAAGGAGGGAGGGCTGAAACCCCAAAAGCCTGCGTGTTGGAAGAAGAGAACTCAACCCCTTCCCAACCCAGCCTGGGCCAATAACCTTTTAAGCAGTTTCCAATCTGCTTACGCATTCATCTGTCAAACATGTGGAAATGAATATAGAGTTCCACACACTGAAATTTTTTTTTACCTTACCAAAAATCTGTGGATGCCAAAATGCATATGCACACCTTTATTGCCTAGATAGGGATTACTAATCTTTGCCCGCAACAAAATGGGGCCTTTTATTCCTGCGATAGACTAAGCTACAGTGCTTTAGTAGCTGATGACTTTATCAAAGGATTCTTTGATAGAGTTGTGATGATGAAACGCGTCAGAGGTGATGTCAGGCGTTGCTGGAAGTGTAACGGTGGCCATTTTGGATGAGGTCCGGTCTTAGGATACACATTATGAAGGAGATCTAGTTTAAGTAACACACAAACGCTGATATTTATTCTGCATATGTAAGTGCTTTTTTATTAATAAATTAAGAGCGTTTAAAGTTGATAAGCAATGATTGCTGATTCTTTTTCCGGGCATATACTTTCATATTCATTGGAGCATTGAAAGCTACAGTGCTTGGAGAAGGAGTCTATTTGATCAAAGCCTCTGTCCCCTGTCATTCTGGTAAGGTGCATGGAGGGGCGGACTGACAACTCATGGGGCCCTGGGCAATAGGGGATCATGGGGCCCCTGTGTCCTTGCCCAAACTCAAAAAAGCCTAGGAAAATGGTACCAGGGGCATCTCATGGGGCCCCCTACTGGCCCCGGGCCCTCGGGCAGTGCCTGAGTTTCCAAATGGTCAGTCCGCCCCTGGGTGCATGGATTGACAGGTGTTGGATAACTCGGCTGTTTCACTGTTTGGTGATCACTGGTGTTGAGTGTCAAAGCACTGATTCACATGATATGATGATTAGGTTATGTGTTGACAATATTACACTATATTTGATTTACATTTCTCGGAGGGTCTGGTTTTATTGGGAAGAATTTCTGAAGAAGGATCTCACTAGTCAAGAATTCATATAAAGCAAGTTATTCATCTTAGGAGGGTAAGAGTAGGGATTACGGTCACTGGAAGGACACTTGGTTATTTGGGGCATGTTTTGAACACTATGATGTGAGTGCACTTTTATAATTTTTCTGAGTTACGTATTAAGGGTAATGCACTATATGTATTTTATCTCTTTGAGGTAAAAAGAGGAAGAGGAGGAATTTTCTTTGAAGAATGTTGAAAGTTATTAAGAAGCGTGAAGATTTAATTAGTCTGCGTGGGAATATATTGAGACTTTGCTGGATGCTATTGAACATATTTTTAATTAACAGGTGCTGACAATATAGAAACTGACTCAACCTTTCTGTTGTGTGACTCTGTGTGCCACATTGAGCATGGTGAAGAGAAAGAGCAGCAAAGAATTGTCTGAGGATTTGAGAACAAAGATTGTGGAAAAGCATGGACAATATCAAGGTTACAAATCCATCTCCAGAGATCTGAATGTTCCTGTGTCCACTGTGCACAACATTGTTAGGAAGTTTACAGCCCATGGCACTGTACCTAATTTCCCTGGATGTGGACAAAAGAGAAAAAACTATCAAAGATTGCAACAAAGGATTGTTTGATTAGTGGATAAAGAATCTTGATCCACTTCCAGACAAATTCAAGCTGACTACCAAGCACAGGGTTCAACTGTTTTAGCTCACGCTATATTTTGCCATCTGAATGAGAAGGGAGGCTATGTTTTGGAGACCCAGGAGGACCCCATTGCTGAAACAAACATAAAAAGCCAGATTGGAGTTTGCCAAAACTCACCGGAGAAAGCCAAAATCCTTTTTGGGAGAATGTGCTGGGGACAGACGAAACAAATGACAGCTTTAGTAAAGCTCATCATTCTATTGTTTTCAGAAAAAGAAATGAGGCCTTTAAAGAAAAGAATACAGTCCCTACAGTCAAACATGGTGGAGGTTCACTGATGTTTTGGGGTTGCTTTGCTGCTTCAGGCACTGGATGTCTTGACCATGTGCATGGCATTATGAAATCTGAAAACTACCAAAGAATTCTGGACTGCAATGTAGGGCCCAGTGTTAGAAAGTTGGGTCTCTGTCAGAGATCATAGGTCTTACAGCAGGCAATGACCCCAAGCACACGTCAAAAAGCACCCAGAAATGGTTTAGGACAAAGCGCTGGAAAGTACTGAACTGGCCAGAAATGAATCCAGATCTCAATCACATAGAGCACCTGTGGAGAGATCCCAAAACAGCAGACTGGGTAATGTGTTAGGAACATAAGGATGTCCCATCACTTAATGGAAATGAAAATTATCAACCTACAGAGGACTGAATTCGAAGACACCCCGAAAATCAAAGTGAAAAAATGATGCAGCAAGCTAGTCCATTTTGCTGAAATTTCATTGCAGCAACTCAAAATGGTACTCAGTAATTTGTATAGCCCCCACGTGCTTGTATGCATGCCTGATAATGTTGGGGCATGCTCCTAATGAGATGACAGATGGTGTTCTGTGGTAATACCTCCCAGATCTGGACCAGAGCATCTCTGAGCTCCTGGACAGTCTGAGGTGCAACCTGGCAGCATTGGATGGACCGAAACATGATATCCCAGAGGTGTTCTATTGGATTTAGGTCAGGCGAGCATGGGGGCCATTCAATGGTATCAATTCCTTCAGGAACTGCCTGCATACTCTTGCCACATGATGCCGGGCATTGTCATGCACCAGGAGGAACCCACTGCACCAGCATAGGGTCTGACAATGGGTCCAAGGATTTCATCCCAATACCTAATGGCAGTAATGGAGCCATTGTCTAGCCTGTAGAGGTCTGCATGTCCCCCCATGGATATGCCTCCCCAGACAATCACTGATCATCACTGACCATCACTGACCCACCACCGAAATGGTCATGCTAATCAATGTTACAGGCAGCATAACATTCTCTTCAATGCTTTTCCAGACCCTTTCACATCTGTCACATGTGCTCAGGGTGAACCTGCTCTCATCTGTGAAAAGCACAGGGCGCCAGTTCTGGTGTTCAATGGCAAATGCCAATCCAGCTCTATGGTGTCAGGCACTGAGCACAGGACCCACTAGAGAAAGTTAGGCCCTTAGGCAACCCTCATGAATTCTGTTTCTGATTGTTTGGTCAGAGACATTCAAACCATGTGGCCTGCTGGAGGTCATTTTGTAGGGCTCTGGCAATGCTCATCCTGTTCCTCCTTGCACAAAGGAGCAGATACCTGTCCTGCTGATGGGTTAAGGACCTTCTACAGCCCTGTCCAGCTTTCATAGAGTAACTGCCTATCTCCTGGAATCTCCTCCATGGTTCTTGAGACTGTGCTAAGAGACACAGAAAACCTTCTGACAATGGCAAGTATTGATGTGCCATCCTGGAGGAGTTGGACTGCCCGTGCAACCTCTGTAGGATCCAGGTATCGCCTCATGCTACCAGTAGTGACACTGACCCTATCCAAATGCAAAACTAGTACAAAACAGTCAGAAAAGATGAGTAGGGAAAAAAAGTGTCTGTGGCCTCCACTGTAAAACCATTCTTGTTTTGGGGGTCATCTGATTGTTGCCCATCTAGTGCACCTGTTGTTAATTTTATTAACACTAAAGCAGCTGAAACTGATTAACAACCCCCTCTGCTACTTACAGTTGCAAGAAAAAGTATGTGAACCCCTTGGGATTACGTGGAGTTTTGCATGAAGTCACAACAATAGAAGAACACAGTCTGCTGCACATAATACTACACAAACATTAGATGTTGCCATGGTTTAATTGCACATAACATGTAGACATTCACAGTGCAGGGAGGAAAAAGTATGTGAGGCCCTAGCTTAATGACTTCTCCCAGAGCTAATTGGAGCCAGGAGTGAGCCAACCTCGACTCCAATCAGTGTGATGATATTGGATGTGTTGCTGACAGCTGTCCTGCCCTTAAAAAACACACACCTGTTTTGGGTTTACTGGTTTCAAGAAGCACTGTCTGATGTGAACCATGCCTCGCAGAAAAGAGCTCTCAGAAGACCTACGATCAAGAATTGTTGACTTGCATGAAGCTGGAAAGGGTTACAAAAGTATCTCCAAAAGCCTTGATGTTCATGTGTCCACGGTAAGACAGACAGTCTACAAATGGAGAAAGTTTAGCACTGTTGCTACTCTCCCTAGGCGTGGTCGTCCTGTAAAAATGACTGCAAGAGCACAGCGCAGAATGCTGCCTGAGGTAAAGAAGAATCCCAGAGTGTCAGCTAAAGACCTACAGAAATCTCTGGCACATGCTAACATTTTTGTTGACACATCTACAATAAGGAAAACATTAAACAAGAATGGAGTACATAGGAGGACACCACGGAGGAAGCCATTGCTGTCCAAAAAGAATATTGCAGCACGTTTGAAGTTTGCAAAAGAGCACCTGGATGTTCCACAGCACTACTGGCAAAATATACTGTGGACAGATGAAACCAAGATTGAGTTGTTTGGGAAGAACACACAACACTATGTGTGGAGAAAAAAAGACACAGCACACCAACATCAAAACCTCATCCCCACTGTAAAACATGGCGGGAGGGAGCATCATGGTTTGGGGCTGCTTTGCTGCCTCAGGGCCTGGACGGATTGTTGTCATTGATGGCAAAATGAATTCCAGAGTTTATCCAGACATTTTGCAGGAAAACGTACGACCATCTGTCCGCCAACTGAAGCTCTGCTCGATGGGTGATGCAACAGGACAATGACCCAAAGCATACAAGTAATTCAACAAAACAATGGCTGCAACAGCACAGAATATGCCTTCTGGAGTGGCCCAGTCAGAGTCCTGACCTCAACCCCATTGAAATGCTGTGGCATGACCTTAAGAGAGCGATTCACACCAGACATCCCAAGAATATTGCTACACTGAAACAGTTTTGTGAAGAGGAGTGGTCCAAAATTACTCCAGATCGTTGTGCAGGTCTGATCTGCAACTACAGGAAACGTCTGGTTGAGGTTATTGCTGCCAAAGGAGGGTCAACCAGTTATTAAGTCCAAAGGTTCACATACTTTTTCCTCCCTTCACTGTGAATGTTTACATGTTTATGTGCAATTAAACCATTGCAACATCTAATGTTTGTGTAGTATTATGTTCAGCAGACTGTGTTCTTCTATTGTTGTGACTTAGATGACGTTCAGAGCACATTTTATGCCCAATTCATGCAAAACTCCACGTAATCCCAAGGGGTTCACATACTTTTTCTTGCAACTGTAACTGACCAGATCAATATCCCAGGAGTTTAATTGACTTGATGCTATACTCTGATTAAAAAGTTTTCCTTTAATTTGAGATATATATATATATATATATATATATATATATATATACTACATGTAGGGATAAATATGTATGCACTTTTTTAAAAACATTGTCTCTGTCTGTCATCTTGAAAAAATAGGGTCAACGAGGTGTAACTTTTTGCTGATATGTGGCTTCAGTAAATCCTGTTGCAAATTCTCCTACTCAGTTAACTGATTTTTTCTTTATTGCTAGACAGTACAGCCAGTCTGTTGACCTAGTTTCTTTGCTTCATTTAGGCAATGCAGCTAGATGACCTCCCTGACCCCAATCTGTCATTAGACTGTGAAGGAGCAGCAACAGACTGATGAGGTCATGCTTCTGCTCTAATGCTTTTTTTTTTCTTAAAGCTACACATCTGCTTCATTATTTTTTTACTGTGCCACCAGTTCAGCTTTAACCTTTCATTTTGGGATGAACATTTATAAATGTTTCCATAATTAGTTTTATTTCCACTGAGACGCTGATCCCCCGAGAGATATAATCTGCTGTTAGTCGACTTTCGACTTAAGGAAAAAATATTGCGCAGAGCAAGAGATAGAAATCGCGTGATATATAATGGAGCAGAAATCAAATTCTTTCAAGATCTCTCCCATCTTACTTTGCAACGCAGAAAGGACCTACGCCCTCTATTGGAGCTACTACGTTCCAGGGGTATTGCTTACCGCTGGAGATTCCCATTTGGTCTCTCAGCAATACACATGGGAAGTTCAGCCCTCCTTAAATTCCCAGAAGATATTGCACCATTTTGCGAAGCTCTTGATATTCCGATTATAGAAATACCCAATTGGTCAAGCGAACTCCACCTCCCATCTCAGACAGAGGAAGACCCAATGGAGGCTCAATCTGCTGGATATCCTGGAGGAGCCAGAAGACACAGACCATCTCAGCGCATCTCGTCCTCTCCTGTTCGACTTATTACTGGGGAAAGCCTTCCAACCTCACCAGCCCATCGCAAGGCACGTCATGATTGATACTTCCATGTTCCCCTGCCTCCCTATACTTGTGCATTGCCACCTCCCCACTTTATAGCTACTCTCACACCTAAGCGAATATATCTCACGGGGGTTTTTTTTTCCTCAACCCGGGTCTCACTGCACCTTTAACGGATCACCTATTCACCTTGGGACAAGATGTGAGTGTATGTGTATTAGACTGTCTTACCTCTCATGCACATTATCAGTCTGTTATATGTGTTCACCACTTTTGAATAGAGATACTGAGATCACACTAACTCTTGTTTCCTGCCCGGCTGCATGGTAATGGTATTAATACAGCTTTGGCCCATAACCTCGCCAACTCTGAAGCTTGTTTACCTAGGTAATGATGGCCTAATAAAATATCCTGATAGTTTCAGCTGAATCCAGAGTCTTTATTGGCTTGAGATCTAGTGCGGAGACTGCTCATTTCCCTTGACGCCTGCCTGAGTCACTGAATCTCTACACATTTTACAATTGATATCCTTTCATGGGGAATCTCCTGTGACTGTGGTCATGTGTTTGCAACAAGGCGGTTTATTGAGGCCTTCCTGAATGGCTCGTTTGGAGCATATTGTATAGCCCATGAGTTATCTCAGAATGAGCTCTATATCTCCTTTTGCATGTTTCTATTATGGCTCTTTGGGGCTGTTATTAGGTGACCACATGGGCGGACTGACCATTTGGAAACTCGGGCACTGCCCGAGGGCCCGGGGTCAGTAGGGGGCCCCATGAGATGCCCCTGGTACCTTTTTCATAAGCATTTTTGAGTTTGGGCAAGTACACAGGGGCCCTATGATCCCCTATTGCCCGGGAGCCCCATGAGATGTCAGTCCGCCCCTGGGTGACCATGTAGCACTTCAATTTCTATCTTGCCCATAATGTCTCCTCATGAGCTTTTTGATTACCTATGAGCTCATAGAGACCCCTCCCTGATCGCATTGTTCCCCTCCACATCCGTGAACGTACCCTGATTTATGCATCAAAGCTTGGGATATTATACGCAATGCACTACTACCCTTTTTCCCCTCACCACTTCCCTATCCCTTTATATTTTGGCTGCCCATACATTCTTCCCAAACTGGGATGTGACTATCTTAGCAGCTTAGACTCCGAGTTATTTTCAATTGTTCACCTTCTAACTGCCCTTGGACAAGGTGTTGAGGTATATCTAAGGCATATGATTTCCCTAAATTTAGGTATAAGTACAGGTTCGCCTTTCAGTTCTGTTAGTCTTAATTATACGTACGTGGTTTTTGTGGAACATGCTGTCGACAGGCCACAGTTCGACGATGCCTCTTCAGCAGCTGATCTTAACCTCACGTACCTGTAGGTCAACCTGCATCTGTGGTTGTGGCCTGTTGCACAGCGTAATGAGCCTCGGTTGGGGCTGATATATCCCTTATGTAGAAATGTGGCTCAACCGAATGGTTGGACCTCGGCCTGCACTTCTGTACACTAAGGCCTTATGTATTCCTGTTTTCACTGCCTGATTTCATACAAAGTTGATATTTTCTGTCTGAACTAACACAGTATGAAGAAACATGTTTGCAGTGTTCCTTTTTTGACCTCACTACATGACTTATGAACAGCTACTGAGTGAAACTCACCACTAATGCATACTGCTTACCTTTTGATATTAGTGTTTGAGTCCCATATGCCTCTGCCACATTCTCTTGCATAGCTTCTCCTCAATGCCTTCCCGAGACGGCTCCACATCCCACTAGATACATTAGAACCATCCTCCAAAACATTACACCCTCATGCTTATATGCACATGATGATCCACAATATTACAGCTAACATACCCTTCCATATATTATCTCCTACGTTCTTCCCCTTGCTCTGAATTGATCACCTCTCCTTAGAATTCGCCAACACTTACCTGCCTCTGTGTGTCATCGCCACCTTCTACTGGACCTTATTTTATACATTCTCTCCGTCTACATGACACCTGGTGGGTCCTTGATGATCCTTCTGGGACTGTTTTGTGTTCCCTTACTACGTCCACCTCTGGGTCCGACACATTTCCGAATGGATTTGCCCATCCACACATAATACGTCAAGTATCTTATCAACCCTTCAGACGTGTAACACAGGACTGTGTAGCTGGACCACTTGGTCACCGGATTTTACTTCCTTAGAGAAGTGTTAGGAATATATACCGCCATATACGTTTAGTTTTTGAGCATGAACGCCTAACACTCCTCACCTTTACAATATCCTGGTTCCCTGACTCTGCCTCTCTTTTTCATCCTTCATTCTTACTTCTATTTTTTCCTCTCTACCCTACCCGCCCCCCCCCCCCCTCCGTTTTTTTTTTTTTTGTTCCTCTCCATTCGCCGATGTAGAGTTTTAAAGCAATACACTTTCCCCCATACATAACAATTTTCTACTAATCACACTTCATCTAAGAAACTCACTTTCATGTTGATCATATTCCTAAACTTTCCAATGTCAATTACCCAACAGTATACCATTCAGTCAACACAGAGGTAAAAGCAAAAGGTGTATCCATTTTAATCTCCAAAACACTCCCGCTTACAATCTCTTAATCTCTCGAGGATCCAGAGGGAAGGTTCCTCTTCCTTAAAGGCACCTTATACAACAAACCGATCACTCTGGTCAACGAATACAGTCCCAACACAGCAAGAGTAAGCTTTTTTTGTAAAATCTCCAGAACTCTTGCCACTTTCCAATCGGGTATCTTGATTCTTGGAGGCGACTTCATTGTAGCACTAAATCCACTAAAAGACACCTCGACAGGTTTCTCATCACATATACCCTCTGTCTGAATGATTGAACATGCTGTGGTACTGGGGAGCACCCTGTTTTCCGAGATACCACCTGCTGCACATCTGGATGTGCTTTGGTGTACCACTACGGCATGTCCTCCTGGATTACTAATCCAGGCTCTGTCTTGTTGACTGTTTGGATACACACTACATTTTAAGCTATAGGCCTATCTTTCTAGCGCAACTCATACAACATGAAGTAAGCTATTTTTCCGCAATTGTACTCCCCACTTCCCCGCAGTATCTTACCCAGAGCCCCCCCCCCCCCCCCCCCTTTTTTTTTCTCTCTTTCTTCTTCCCTTTTATCCCCTACATTCCCCTTTCACACTATACTACCCTACATACCCTTTTCTAACTACCCCCCTTTATGTGCCATACTTCACATAACTCACATACCCAATCCATGGACACACAAACCATAACATACACAGCATCATGTGCTACCCTTACCCAACACTTCACACTTCCCACTCCCCTGACATAGCAACCTGCTCACAGGTCAGAAGACAATCTATTATATTGCTTATCTCCTATACTCTGTACATCTGCTAGATTGCAATTTTCTATTGTTATATTGTCTTACTCCGTTATGATCTGTATTGCTTTTTAAGCCACGACCTGTCTGCGAAACGGAGACTACATGCTGTGTCTTTGCTCAGATTGTGATCCATAACTGTATATGCATTGTTATGCCTTCTTTCTTCTAATAAAAATATTTTTTGGAAAAAAATGTTTATTTCCACTGACATGTCCCTATCCAAAAGTGCCTCTGCCTGAACATTGAGGCACCAAAGAACCAAATACATTACACAGCTTTTCAGCTTTTCAAAGATCAGCAAGAGCACTTTTGGCTCCTGGTAATCTTTTTCTAAGCTTGTAAATTTTTCAGCATGGTGCTGAAAAGTTTACAAGCTTGTACAGTAATAGCAACCTATATGCTTGTTGAACAGACTGCTAGTAATTATAAGGTAAGGGATCATGCACTTTTTTACAGTTTAAAAGGAAACACAAATTAATTTGAAATTGCACCTGGGTGGACAAATACTGCCTCACTGTATATGGTGTTCACTTTCAATGTTTGATTTCCAAATGTAGGATTTTTTTTTTTATGAAGCCTGCTTGCCTTAAAGTACATCATGTTAAAGTAATTACTGTAAATAAATGATTGCATTTTAGTAAATCATATTATACTGTTTATGTGAAAGATGTTTTAATACATTATTGTGGAATAACGTCCTTACAGGATGTCTTCAATTTAGAAGCCGACCTCAATGCTCTGTTTAATTGGGCAACTATGTGGCAACTGAGGTTTAATGTTCATAAATGTAAGGTTATGCACTTGGGGGCTAAGAATATGCATGCATCATACATACTAGGGGGAGTACAACTGGGGGATCAATGGTGGAGAAGGCTCTGGGAGTTCTGGTAGATCACAAGCTTAATAATGGCATGCAATGCCAAGCTGCGTTTCTAAAGCGAGCAAAATCCTCTCTTGTATTAAAAGAGGTATAGACTCCAGAGAGAGAGATATCATATTACCCCTGTACAAATCATTAGTAACACCTCATCTGGAATATGCAGTTCAATCTTGGGCACCAATTCACAACAATAACATTGGGCATTGGGGAACTGGAGAAAGTACTGATACGAGGCATGGAGGAGCTCAGCTATGAGGAAAGATTAGAGGAACTGAATTTATTCTCTCTTGAGAAGAGGAGATTAAGGGGGGATATGATCAACATGTATAAATACATCAGTGGTTCATATAGTGAACTTGGTGTAGAGTTATTCACCCTGAGGTCATCACAGAGGACAAGGTGGCACTCTTTACATCTGCAGGAAAAAAAATGTAATCTCCAAACACGGAAAGGATTCTTCACAGTAAAAGCTGTGAAAATGTGGGAATAGACTCCCTCAAGAGTTGGTTTTGACCAGCTCAGTGGATTGCTTTAAAAAAGGCCTGGATTCTTTCCTGGATACACAGAATATAACTGGATCAGGGGCTGATTGACCATTTGGAAACTCGGGCACTGCCTGAGGGCCCGGGGTCAGTAGGGGGCCCCATGAGATGCCCCTGGTACCTTTTTCATAGGCTTTTTTGAGTTTGGGCAAGGACACAAGGGCCCCATGATCCCCTATTGCCCGGGGGACCCATGAGTTGGATACTAACATTTATAGGTAAAGTTGATCCAAAGAATATCCAATTGCCTCTCGGGGGATCAGGAAGAAATGTTTTCCCCTGCAGGAGCAAATTTGATCATGCTTTGCTGGGTTTTTTTTTTTTGCCTTCCTCTGGATCAACTGTGGGTATAGAATTTTAACTTTTTTTTTTTAATGGTTGAACTGGATGGATTTTATCTTTTTTCAGCCAGACTAACTATAACTATTGTATTATTGGTATTTTGTTGATAAATAAAAGATATGGAACAGGTACAGTTTTTCATTGTCTCAGTTACCTTATTTAGTCTTTGCACTTATTAGAGCCATACAATACAAACATGTAGTTCACCTAGAGTCAAACAGGAAAATGGCCATAGATGAGCAGATAACCTGGTGTGTTTGATCCCTTGCTTTGTCCTATAACTTTCCAGCAGTTTAGGAATGGTATAGTGATCACAAGCAAAGGTTGAGCATTACTTAATAATTTAGATGTGTATGGCCATTCTTTTATTTGATTTAGTGGGGTTGATTTTTGCAAATAACCAATGATAACAATGTATTTTTTTTTACACACATTTTGTTTGGTTGGAAGGTTTGCTTATTATTAAACCTATAGAAATACAATGCTACATCTTCAGCAAAGCTGATGGTACCTTTCCAATGGATACATGTATAAAAACTAAACTTGTTTTTTTGCCTTTAGCAACCAAACAATATATTGATATTTTGTAGAGCAGATTACTGAAATAAAATAAAAAGCTAATGCCTGATTGCCTGCTATAGGCATATCCTTTTTTTCCCTCTATTTTATAAACTCCAGTATTTAAGGTATTTGAAAGACAAATTTACCTACAAGTAAAATCCCCCAGCTCCCCTCCATAGGCCCCAGAACTATCCAAAGCTGAAACCTTCCACTCAGGTGCTTACTTACTTTCGTCCCATTGTTTACATCCCAAGCTGAAAAATCTAGTGTCTGTGCATTAACAGTAACATTTCATAGACTTAATGCAGGGGTGTCAAACTGGCGGCCCTCCAGCTGCTGCGAAACTACAAGTCCCATCATGCCTCTGCCTTTGGGAGTCATGCTTGTAACTTTTAATCTTGCAATGCCTCATGGGACTAGTAGTTTGGCAGCATCTGGAGGGCCGCCAGTTTGACACTCTTGACTTAAAGTGACCTGTCCTTTAAATCTTGCACTTGCTTCTGTTTTAGCACTGAAGCGAAAGCATGTATCTCAGAATTTTTTATTTTTATATTTTATATTTCTTCACATTTTATTCCTACATAAGGGGCCTCTTAATCACTTGTCAGTCGCCCACCCGCACTGTACTCCTGGCGAGTGATGGCTGTAGGCAAAATCAGCATACTGGTTCACTGCCGCCTACTTCTGGGTTTAGGGCACATGCATGCGCACCCCCCACCTGGCACCACTGTGTTTGCACACAGGGGGAGCCTGTCAGCAAGTCCTGGCCAATGATTCATGGCCAGGACCTACTGATCGGCTGTGTGCAATAACAGCCCAGAGCTCTTGTGTTGGTAAACAACACAGAGCTCTGAACCTAGGGAGTAATCTGCCAGTTTCTCATGCCTGCAAAGCAAGCATGAGAAACTGGGAGATCAGTTAGTAAAAGCAGCACACTGCCCACACATTACACATAGATAGGCACATATTTAATCCCTTGATTGCCCTAGATCAGTGGTCTCCAAACTGTGGCCCGGGGGCCGCATGCGGCCCATTGCTTGTCTTTATCCAGTCCTTGAGGCACTTTTCCTCCAACTGATACAAGACACTATTCCTCCCACTGACACAAACAATGCGGCATAATTTTCGCTACTGACATCAGCAATGGGGCCATTTGACACCAGCAATGGGGCCCTATTTCTCCCACTGACACCAACAACAGGACACTATTCCTCCCACTGACACCAATGATGAGTCACTCAAACTTACACCAACGATAGGGCAATATTCCTCCCACTGACACCAGCAATGGGGCCCTATTTCTCCCACTGACACCAGCAACAGAGCACTATTCCTCCCATTGACACCAATGATGAGTCACTCAAACTTACACCAACGATAGGGCACTATTCCTCCCACTGACACCAGCAATGGGGCACTATTCCTCCCCTAATACCAAAGATACATTGTTTACTCCCACTGAAACCAGGACAATTTCAACTCCCAATGGCCACAGATCAGCCCTCTAATGTCTGAAGGACAGTAAACTGGCCCTTTGTTTAGAAAGTTTGAGACCCCTGTCCTATATGTTAACCTCTTCCCAGCCAGTGTCATTAGTACTGTGACAGTGTATAGTAGCATCAATGGGGGTGTCAGTGTCAGTAAGTCAGTTCCCCCAGTGTCAGTTAATGTCAGATTGCTTACCGCAGTATCGCAATCCCATTATAAGTCACTGATCATTAATAGTATAAAAAAAAAACCCAAAAAATAAAAATTCCAGTAATTATACCATAGTTTGTAGCTGCTATAAATTTCAAGAAAACCAACCAATATGTACTTATTGGAATTTTTTATCAAAAACATGTAGCAGAAAACATTTTGGCCAAAATCTATCAAAGAAATTTGATTTTTTTTAAATATTTTTATTGGAGTAAAAAATTTTTTTTTTCATAATTTTATGTCTTTTTTCATTTACAGAGCAAAAAAGTAAAAAAAACCATTGTTGATCAAATACCACCAAAAGAAATAACTATTTATATGAAAAAAATTATATACATTTCATTTGGGTACAGCATTGCATGACCACAAAATCGGCAGTTAAAGTAGTGCAGTGCCGCATAGCAAAAATAAATCGCCTGGTCATGAAGGGGGGTTAAAATCTTCCAGAGTTCACATGATTGAACAAAAAGGATTCTCTTTGCTGCTTTTAAAATTAAGATTTATAAACTTTTTGCCAGCCATTTTTCTACAGATTTATATACAGGTGACATAGAACTAATACATCTGGAGAAATGTCTATAATTTACAGATGTAATTTCCATTTTTTTTTTTTTTACATTCAGGGAAAACCTGACATTCATATGGTATGCTAATATTTTTAATTATAATTGTTGGCCAATTTATCATAGAAACAAATTGCAAATATTATCTGAAGTGTAAACGTTTTTCCTGCTTTATAATTAACTACCTGCCGACCGCAGATAGCCGAATGACGGCTTCACTGCGGCCGGCCAATTCTGGGTGGACGTCATATGACGTCCCCCCAGAACGCGCTCTCCTGCGCGCCCCAGGGGGTGCGCACCTGGCGATCTCCGTGATCGCAGTGTCCTACGGACACAGTTGATCACGTGATGTGGTAAAAGGCCAATCACAGCGGCCTTTTACCACCTGATCAGCGGTGTCCAATGACACGCTGATCAGAGGGAAATGCAAGTGCCGGTTCTCGGCTGCACTTTCCTCACGCTGTCAGATCGTGAGGAAAGTACTGCCGGGAACCGGCAGTTGTCAGAGCGGGGATCGGCACCGATCATCAGGGCACTGATGATCAGTGCCCTGATGATCGGTGCCCAGCAGTGCCACCTGCAAGTTCTGCCCACCTGTGCCCAGCAGTGCACCCACTAGCTCCGCCCACCTGTGCCCAGCAGTGCACCCACCTGTGCCCAGCAGTGCACCCACCTGTGCCACTCTGCCGTGCCACCTACCTGTGCCCAGAAGTGCCACCTACATGTGCCCAGCAGTGCCACCCACCTGTGCCCACCCACCTGTGCCCACCAGTGCCACCCACCTGTGCCCACCCACCAGTGCTGCCCACCAGTGCCACCCACCAGTGCAGCCCAGCAGTGCTGCCAGTCAGTGCCACCAGCCAGTGCCCAGGGGTTGTGCCAGTCAGTGTCGCCAGTCAGTGCCCAGCAGTGATGCCAGTCAGTGCCGTCTATCAGTACCCATCATCAGTGTCACCTATCAGTGCCGCCTATCAGTGCTGCATATTAGTGCCGCCTATCCGTGACACCTCATTAGTGCTGTCTATCAGTGCCGCCTATCCGTGCCACCTCATTAGTACTGCCTCTCAGTGCCCTTTAGTGCTGCCTATCAGTGCCCATCAGTGCCGCCTATCAGTGCCCATCAGTGCTGCCTCATCAACGCACATCAGTGAAGGAGAAAAAATACCTGTTTGAAAAATTTTATAATAGAAACAAAGAAACTTTTTTTTTTTTTTTCAAATTTTTTGCACTTTTTTATTTATAGCGCAAAAAGTAAAGCGCCCAGTGGCGATTAAATACCACCAAAAGAAAGCTCTATTTGTGAGAAAAAAATGATCAAAATTTAATATGGGTACACTGTTGCATGACCGCGCAATTGTCAATCAAAGTGCGGCAGCGCTGAAAGCTGAAAATTAGCCTGGTAAGGAAGGGGGTATAAGTGCCTGGTAGGCAAGTGGTTAAAGTGTTACTAAACCTACAACAGTAAAATCAGTCTGTATATGCAGTAAAGCATGCTTGTTATACTCACTGTGGAACCTGTTAAGGGGTTAATCCGCTGCATTGAGTAAAAAGGCTGTTAGATCCTGATTCTTCTCTGCCCCTCCTCTTGTTGAAATGACCACCTGATACAGACTGAACCCGTGGTCACATGCGCATGCTCAGTTTGGTGTGTATTGCTAGAGAGTTTTTTTTTTTTTTTGGGAGGGTGCATGTGATCAGCACAGAGCCAATCAGCACTGTCCAGACAGAGGATCAGAGGTATCACATCCTCCTAGAGCAGAAAGAAAACTCCTCTTACAAGCTTTAACCTGTGCTCTGTTGAAGTCACAAGACTACTCTAACTGCTGATGAGAAAAGGTATTTAGCAGTTTATATTTACTAAAATAATTGCATTTCCATGTTCTGTGTACTGTGGGAGACCAGATATAGTGAATGCAGGGTCCTGGGTTTAGTATGACTTTAAGGAGAAATGATAAAAATGTATGAAAAATTCTACACAAAATTTGAAAGTAGCAAAAAAATGGGGAAAGAAAGTTTAAAAATCAAAAGTGCAAATTTCAGAGAAATGGTTTAATTACCATTTTAAAAGTAGGCTGCTAAAATTACTTTGGCAGATTTACCTACATGTGCTCATACAGTATAATAATATTTTAATATATAATATTGTATTAGTTCTCTTTACATATTTATTTATAGGCCTGTATAAATGAAATAACTTCCCTCATTCTAACAAGCGTGTTTAATGCTGTCATAATATTATGGTACAGATTTATACATTCATTTTTTTCCTTTATGCTTCTAAATTTATTTTTGAATACACTTTCCTTTGATTTTTATCCTGCCTCAAAGATGTAAAGACCACACATTTGAGTCAGTCATGCAGCTCTAGATATGGAAACACATAATAAACAAACATCCCTTCCTCACACAATCTGACAGGATTGTTTCAACCTGTTAATCATTAATATAGTTGATGTGATCACCACCATTTTTTCTATCTTTTTGAGACAACAGATAACCCAATTTACTGTGGCTACGTCACATCCAGAGTCATTATCTCTACCCCTGTGTGACTTTTTGTCAAAATAAAAGCACCTGGGATTCTAGGCACCGACCTTTAGATGAACAACTGGCTTTCATTTGATAGGAGATATAGGCCAACAACAGGTTGTGCTTCTAGCTATACTTTAAAATAGCCAGTGATGTCAAAGCTTTTAGAGCAACATTTGCCGGACCAGAAAGCAAATATTGTATGAAGCTCGTGAAGGACCAGACAAGCAATATGCTCCACATGGACTTTTACACGGTCTTCTTTATAATTCATAACTATTTTCCCTTTATATAACACCTGGGATGTTGTTTGGATTCCTTTTAGACTGAAATTTTGATTTTGTCTTTTGAGTTTCTTTGACAGTTGATGAGCTGGCATAATTGTAAATTTATACAATGCCAATCGAACAGTTTTCTGAGACACAAGAAGGAGACTGTCCATTCCAAACTGAAGAGCCACATAAAAAAAGTAACACAAGGATACCGGATTGCTATGGGTCTATGGTGGAGCTTCTAGCTTATTCACAGGAAAGTCTCTGCACGGAGAGGAGTGATGGTATAATGCTTACGCCAGATGAGGAAGAAACTCCAGCTGGCCTTGGAATAAAAACAGGTATGATCTCCAGCTCTATATAATACTTAAAGCCAGTGTTTCTCAACCTTTTTTCAGTCAAGGCACCCTTGAAAATGATGCACAATCTTGAGGCACCCCATTCTAAAATGTAAAAAGTAAACTAATAGATTTACATAATGCATGAACATCTACACATGCACGATACCCAACGTTAGAGGTAATTTAGTCTGTTAAAGAAAATACACCTTTGCACATTGGTATTTACTAATATTGCAATGTTTCTCCTCTCTCCCCAAGTTTCTATCCCTCACTTAGATAATGTGACCCCAGTACTGACAGAGAGGGTTGGGACCCGACATCCTCCAGATCAAATGATGACATCATTGCTTGTTAGGATTTCGGTGACTAGAAGGTTCTAATGGTGCACATTGAAAAGCTTTGTTTAACTAAAAGGCAGGCTCAGGGATGGACTGACCATTTGAAAACTCGGGCACTGCCCGAGGGCCCAGGGTCAGTAGCAGCCCTCACCTCAACCTCAGCTTCAAAGACACAAAATGTTGAGGTATCAAGGGATATGTGACATTTTTTAACGTAACTACGGAACAATTTAATCACATCTAAACAGATCCAGATTTTATTTAGACAGGAGTGATCTGTACTTCATGAATTAACCTTTTCTTATGCAGCTGGAGCCTCCAGGAGCTGCATGCCTACCTATCTCTATGGGGATGCAGCACCCAGGGGCGGACTGACCATTTGGAAACTCGGGCACTGCCCGAGGGCCCAGGTCAGTAGAGATGCCCCTGGTACCTTTTTCATAGGCTTTTTTGAGTTTGGGCAAGGACACAGGGGCCCCATGATCCCCTATTGCCCGGGGGCCCCATGAGTTGTCAGTCCACCCCTGGGAAGGCTTCATCCACCCTCTGGCTTGTATACAAGTTTGGGCAATTTTTAAGCATTTTGTTAAGGCACCCCTGAATAAACCTGAAGGCACCCCAGAATTTTTATATGTGCACTCACACATTTGTGCATCGGTACACATTTGTCATCTTGCTAACAGCAGCCAGTCTAGTTGATCAGTCCTCTGTGCAGGTTATACTCACGCACCCCAGAATGCCTGGGCACCCTGCTTGAAAAAGGCTGATTTAAACAATAGATAGAAAGATCTCTCTCAGAAAATGGGTGGCATTGTGTGATATACCCACCTAGTTGTTGCAGCAGAAGGTATTCAGAATTGACCACTTTCAAGAACTAGCTGACCCCTTGAAGAACTTTTTTTTATTGGTTTCTAAAAAATGTCAGTGGTTGATAATACGTTTCAGGATATGTGTATCTGTAGGTGATGTGAACACTCCTGGTGTCCAGAAGTGATTCAACCCTTTCTTTCCATATCAGCTACATGGTAGCCTAAGTATAGGGTGTAAAATTAAAGATGTCCATGAACCTAAGACAGCAGTCATTCAGTAAATGACAGAACCAACAAATTACATGTTATGCACCTGATGCTCAAATACACATGCAGAGTTGTGAAGGGGTACATATTTTAAAGCTCTGCCTAGGTAATGAAGTAGTATAATCCACTGGCAAAATAAGGTTCAAAGTCAACCAATGGTTTTGTACCCTGAGAACATACCTAAAGATTATGTAAATTGTTCTTTTGCAATCCACACACAGCCCAATTCTAAACATCATCCAAAGGTACAGGTATCTGACAATACACATCTTTTCTCTGTATTCAGTCTTGAGGTGCCATATTTGCAACAAACAATCAAATGTAAAATCATAGTTTTTAGCTTATTTGTAAAACTGAGGAAAACACAGGTTTTGGGACTGCTAAATTGTATATTGGACTTTTGGTGATAGTTATTTAGTTTGTGTTAATATGTACACAGTTATATATGCTATACGCATCACTCTAGAAGCACATCTCACCACTTGCCCTCCAGAGGATTTACCCTCCTTCCTGACCAGGCCATTTTTTGCGATATGCCGCTACATTACATTAACTGACTATTGCGCAGTCATGCAATACTGCACCCAAATAAAATTTACGTCCTTTCCCACAAAAAGAGCTTTCTTTTGGTGGTATTTGATCGCCTGCGCATTTTTTATATTTTGTGCTATAAAAAAAAGACCAACAATTTTGAGAAAAAAAACTATATTTTTGACATTTTGCTATTAAACATGTCTAGTAAAAAAATTTAAAAATTAAAATTCCATCATAAATTTAGGCCAAAATGTATTTTGCTATATGTCTTTTCTAAAACAAATCCCAATATATGTAAATTAATTGGTTTACGTGAAGGTTATAACATTTACAAATGGCGGTATATATACTGGAATTCTTTTTTTTTTTACTAGTATTGGCAGCAATCAACAACTTATTGCAGGACTGCAGGACTGCGGCAGGCATTCTGACACTGGGAGGAACTGACTTGATGTCACTGACATCCCCAGTGACACCAATACAGTGATCAGTGCTAATACAAAGCACTGACACTGTATTAATGGCACTGGGCAGGAAGAGGTTAACATCTGGAGCGATCAAGGGGTTAATTGTGTGCTGTTTCACATTATATGCTGTGTGTGTGCTTCCCTGTAAGCACACTGCTTTGTATGGCTCTGCTGTGCAGAGCCATAAAAAGCAGTGTGCAAGAGCTTACAGGGGGAGTACTGTATTGTTTACATACAGTTCTCTGCCTTTGGAGGTATTACTTGGCGATCACCAAGAGCCGACGAGTAATCACTGGCCGGGACCCAGTGATTGACAGCCGAGGCCGCAAATGGCGGCGCGGGTAGGGCACACACGTGGCTCGCATGTGCCCCTTAACCGGAACTGCGAAATCACGTATATATATACGTGATTTTGGGCACCCGTGCCACCCTGTAGCAGTATTTCTGCTATAGAGCAGACAGCAAGTGGTTAATGCACATATTTTTGGGTTTGGTATAAATGCTTAAATAAATTTGCAACTGAGTTCAACATTTCTCTACAGGAATTGTCTTTTGGTGTAATTACATAACGGGAAAACTTGAATGAAGGAGCTTGGAGGCTGTTGTTGCCAACCTCTCCTAAATATACTAATTACTTGACTGTCACGTTGATCCAATGACTGGATCCGCTGACTTGGACCCAGCAGGCAAATTAGGAGCATCGACTTTTCTAATATGCGTGCATGTTCCATGCCAGTGTCTCAATTTACTAAAGGCAGACAACTAGCATTTTCAGGAACAACATTTACAGTCTCTGTATTTCTCAAAGGACAGAAATTATACATTAGGCCAGTTTCTCAACTTTTTTTTAACACCATTGACCTTTTTTTTCGGTTTCAGGGAGCCCCTGCTAAAAATGACCACATATACGACTCATGATACATTAGTGTGATGGTCAATGGGAAGAATGTTCCCTACACCTGTGGACATTGGGAGGAATTACCCCCTTATAGATAGCTATAGATCAATGGTGCTAGTGGGGAACTTATCTAAGAGGAACCTTTGGGTTTCATGGAACACTGTTGTAGAGACCCTGCATTGGGAGATGTTTAGAATACAAGAGCAGGTACTGTACATTTGTATATGAAGTACATAGCATCTTTACTGTATACATACATCAATTTTTATTCTGTGACATCTATAAAGGGGAAAATATTAATCATTTTTGCAAAGATGAGAAATAAACAGGTTTTCAGTTATGTTATCAATATGAAGAAATTGGTAAAAATATTAATGGCACATACATTTACAGACCTTTTTCTGCTGTTTGTATTCAGAGATGCATCTGTCAAATGACACGTGTTCATCAGAAGATGAGGACCTTGATATCATTTATAGGAAGAATAGAGTTATTTGCAATAAGGCAGCACAGAAAAAATCAATCACACAGATTATTAAGGATAAGAAGAAACAGACACAACTCACTTTACAATGGTGAGTATAAGAAATTCATATGAAAATCACTCTTTGTTTTCTGATTCTTTATACTATGTAGAAGTAAGAACATGTTAATGGTGCCCATGAATTCAGTACGTTCAAGGTGATAGCAAAATACTTTTGATCATAAAAATTGTTTCAGTGTTTTTAGAATTGGTTAAAACCTTAAAAAAATATCCATGGATAACCCCAGTAGTAACAGCAACACACTGTTTAATGGATGTTGTGAGTCTATTGAATGTCATGAGCCTCCCTGTCCAGCTCCCAGTGCCTGAAAACCTGTTAGGTAGCACTGTGCAATGTTAGAATGACTCACAGTACATAGGATCCTTCTAATTTCTGGTGTGCAGGGAACTGTGGAACACATAATATTTTCCCTCTGATTGTTTTATACTCAAGGATTAGTTTTAAAAATCCTTGTGGATTCAGTAAAATAAATACTTGTTTTTATAAAAAAAAATTCAGATTTGATTTCTCTTCCTTGAATGTGGAATGTTGTTGTACTAAATGGTATAGACTTAAAGTAAATCCACCCCCCTTCCAAAAATGTAATATATTGTAGCAACCAATCCATAGATGTGATAGATCCATTTGTTTTCTTTGATCATGCTTTTTTTTTTTACTTTATTTTTACCTGATCATCCTTCCACATATTTCCTAGGATGACAATGATCACTTACTGTACTGCATCTACGGATGGGTAGCATGGTCATGCTAGGCAGCTTGTTGCTCATTTGGACTACAAACATTACCTCCTCTCCTCATGTCCATCACATAGAGGGAAGTTGTGTTGTAGTTCCAAAGAGGTAGCTGGGAAAGCTGATTCTTTGATATTTCAGTTTAGTTCATAGGACGTTTAAAGGATACTGGATTTCTTATAACAACAGGTATTTTCTGTACATGCAAAATTGTTCTGAGCCAGAAATAAACAAATAAATTAATAAACGTTTTGGAAGATAGTCGTTTTAAGAAAGATACTCAATTTTCAGACTGTTAGTGGGGTCAAATCAGCATTTGTTTTTGACCATAGTGATGAGAAAATTTGAAGGAGCAGGATTGCATTTTTTTCTTAAATGAACACATTTCTAACAGTGTATGCTTTTTTTTGTTAAGTAAAGTCCATTCACTCCAAAATTGAATGTTAAAGGAAACAAAATTTTGAATGACATTTGTTAAGCCGAATGTACTGAGAATTTTGATACAAATGTTCATATGAATATTCCTACAAATATTCATTAGAAAATCTACTAGTGTATATTCAGCTATACTCTCTACAAACACTCTGCTGGAGAATGTGATCAGCCTAATGTAAATAGTCATATCATTGTGTATGATTTTTAAAACGTATTTTTGTAAAAGTTTAAAAGTGAAATGTTATACTCCCACATTACATGTGCTTTCTTAGCATTGCTGGCAGTGATTATTGTGTAACTGTCCCTTTCTCATATTAAAGCCATTGAATCAGATGTGACAGACTGAAAACTCTACCTTATCTGTAGGACTGATTTTATCTCACCAAGGCTGATCAAATTCCCTTAAATACAGATGGCCACTAGAGGGAACATTTGAAAATCTACATTGCAAAATCTACTGAAATGCAGCATGAACTAAGGTGCAACAAGAAAGTAAAACATTATATCAAAATTTACAAAAATTTCCAGGAATAAACTATAGACTAGGGTTGGGCATCATGTCTGAGTCAAACATAAGTTAGACTCAAACACGGGCCATTTGTGTGTTTGGCGAACACATGAATGGTAAAGGCGTTCGGAGGGCTATTCGCCCGCTGTGCTCCACAATGCACTGTGCACTGACAGGGGATTGTAATTGGCTAAAGCAATGCACCTGACCAAAGGTCAGGTGCAAGGCTTTGGCCAATCACAGTGCATGATGACGTCACAAGAGCCGGGAGTGCCCCCACCCCCTCGTGACATCATCACAGTATTTAAAGGATAAATTCACCTTTAGGAACATGTTACATGTTCCACCCGGTTTTAGGGTGGAACATGTACTATGTTCCCATAGCCGCCCCCTCCCTCTGACAGGTAGTCTCCCCATACTATCTGTCAGATTTGAAAAATAGCGCGGCCGTGCGGGGCTCCGCACACACGACCACATCACTCATTCTCAGAGTTCTGTGAATGAGTGCCTACAAGTCCCGGCAGCCTTAACTGCTGTCAGCTTGTAGTTTTCAGTGAACTACCACGGCACTGTGGGGTACCATGGAAGTTCATTGAAGCTTCCTGTTAGAATATCTGCTTGCTTGTACATCCCTAATGGCAAGCAGATATTCTGACAGGCTTGCAGGAGACCTGCTTGGCATCAGAGATCTACTGATTGCTGGTGTGTGATGCTTTATAGGCTCCTGCAGACAGAAATAATAAATGCACTGTTTTTGCAATGCAAAAAACTGTACATTTATTATTTTTGTAAAAAAAGGTGAACTTCCTAAAATTCTTTAAGAACTGTCATCCCAGCACAACTGTCAGACAGCGGGAGCCAGCGTTGGGAGGAGTGGAGTGGTTTTTTTTTCGGGTCAGTGGTGATGGCGGACATTGTGATTTACATTGGATCTACTTTGGGGGACATTTTTTAATCTTTGTTTTTAATAAAGGACTTGTCAAAGACTGTCTCTTGTAATTTTTACGCTACACTTTTTTTTGTGAATGTGTAGCGGTACCATATACCCCATACTCATTCACATGGGGGGGTGGGATCTGGGGGCCCCCTTCTTAAAGGTGGCTTCCAGATTCCAATAAGCCCCCCTCGCAGATACCCACAACCACCAGACAGGGTTGTGATGAAGAGGCCCTTGTCCCTATCAACATGGGGACAAAGTTCTTTGAGGGTGCCCCAAAGCACCCCCCCATGTTGAGGGCATGTGGCCTTGTATAGTTTAGGAGGGGTGACACTCACCCCCCCTCCTTTCTTGACCTGCCGGCCAGCATGCTTGGATAAGGGTCTGGTATGGATTTTGGGGGGGACCCCCATGCAATTTTTTAAACAATTTTGGCATAAGGGTTCCCCTCAAAATCCATATCAATGTCAGCAATTCTTTTTACATTCAGCTGTCAACGGAAAACCCCACTGACAGCTGAAACATTAAAGAATGTCTTCACTACTATAATACCACATGACTTAATAATATAACTCATGCAGTATTTTAGTAACTGTGCGGTATCTTGTCCCTGTTCGAAGTACGCGGTCGAACTTTCGGTAGGTTCGAATGTTCGACTGCAAACCAGACAGGGGGGTGTTCAGCCCATCACTACAATAGACCTTGAAGTAAATATGTACTTTGCCCAGGTAGAGCAAGACAAAAGGTTTGGAATAATCCCCCTTTTCCACCAGTAGATTCACTATCCTTCACTCTTCCTCTGCTCCATTTATTTACATTAAGCAAAGAAACTACCTGGTACATTAGGTTATTGAGGAACATGTGACAGAGTCCATGTGACAGGAATGAGCCTTAACGTCAAGTCAAGGGAGAATGTCATCAGCACACTGAGGATCACCAATATGGGTCCAAAAGTTTTAATGAATGATCAGCAAAGCAATGTTTCGGAGTCTCGCAGGACCCCTTCATCAGCAATGTGACGTCAAGACTCCAAAACGCTGCCTTGCTGTAACTATGTGATCATTCATTAAAACTTTTGGACCCATATTGGTGATCCTTGGTGTGCTGGTGGACATTTTCCGTTGCTGATTCTGTTCGCTTCCAGCCAATGGTCGCAGCACCCACTTATACACACAGCCATTTTTAACACAGGAACGTGTGCGTTTGGATTGTACACTTAATGTCAAATCAATTCACTAAAGGTTACCGTATGTGATATGAAGATCACGTGACCCATTTTTCAGAAATATTGCATGAGATAATAAAAGAGTCAATTCATCAAAGTAAAATGTTGAATGTGAGATAAATGCTGCACATTTGTTAAAATAGTGAGATAAATGCTGCAAAAAAAAACATGAGATAAATCATTAAAGTCAATTCATTAAAAACAAACACATTCGTTATTTATCACCTCGTGTTTACGGGCGGTATTTTAGAAATGTACAAAATAACAATTAGAGGAACTCTGTACTGGCCAGAAAGTGAAAAGTATACAATGTATCAATGAGCTCACAAATGAAAATAAATTGTAAGATTTCATCAGAGGGAGATCGCTTTGTCAATGAAGTACACTAAAATGTTTTCATAGTTTAATATTGATCTGTGCCTTCTAGTGCTGTGTTAGGCTTCATGTAAATGACCCTACCCTGACTTCCGGCTTTGGATAAACACAAATCGCATCAAAAACACGGTACTGTGGTTGTGTTTTCCTATCTTGAACGCGATTCTTCTGCCTTCAGGATAGGAAAGTTTAACCTCACCTAAACACGGAAGCTCCTAAACCCTGCTAAAAGCCTATGTGTACATGGACACAGGCTTTTATGGCGCTAAGGTTAGTAGCTTTGACAAAAAAATGCCAAAAGCTCCTAAACTCAAGTTTAGGAGCTGCTCGTGTACATGAAGCCTTAAGCTGGCCATACATGGATTGAATTCTGAAAGAATTTTCTTTCAAAAATCTTTTCCAATATTTTTCTTTCACAAATCTTTTCTAAGAATTTTCATTCGAATTTCGCACCATTAGTGGGTCACAGAAATGGCCGATTTTTGTGTGACCATCGAATTTGAGTGATCGGGCATGTTGGAAATTTTTTGAAAAATGAACGAATTTCTAATCAATAATGGGAGAATCATGCGAGAAATGTAATTGAAAAAGAAATGAGCATGAGCTGTGACCTGGAAAGAAAAGAAAATTCTTGGCCACGAAAATTCTTTTCTGTAGCAACATGAGGTGAAATTAAAGGCTTGGTTGGTTGAATTTTGAACTCAAGGGTGTAGCGCCATCAGATTACAAAATGCTCGAAATTTCCAATTGTCTAAAGAAAATTTGTTTGAAATTCGACCCATGTATGGCCTGCATTAGCCTGTAAGAAAAAAATGTGAAAATAACACTCAAAATAATGCAAAATTTAAGAACTAAATATCTCAGAACATAAATATTTAATTAATTTGGTAAATAACGCATTTTTTTTTAGTGAATTGGCTACTTTTGAGATAAGTACCACATGAGTTATTTTAGCTCAAAAATTCATGTAGTATTTGAATTGACCCCCTAATCCTTTTTAATAAATTAAATCCCTATTTGCAAAAACGAAGACTGCATACATATTGCAAAATGTATACAACACATAGAAGCAGTGCTTTAAAAACTTTTGAATGTAAAAAAAAAAATGAAACTAAATTAGACCCCAAATCAATATATTTTCCCTTTAAAACAGTAACAGTCAGTAAAAAAAAGAGGGGGGGGGGGGTTAGATCTTCTATTTTATCTATCTATATTTTTTTTTAAATCTTTTTAGCAGCCCTCACCTCAACCTCAGCTTCAAAGACACAAAATGTTGAGGTATCAAGGGATATGTGACATTTTTTAACATAACTACGGAACAATTTAATCACATCTAAACAGATCCAGATTTTATTTAGACAGGAGTGATCTGTACTTCGTGAATTAACCTTTTCTTATGCAGCTGGAGCCTTCAGGAGCTGCATGCCTGCCTAACTCTATGGGGATGCAGCACCCAGGGGTGGACTGACCATTTGGAAACTTGGGCACTGCCTGAGGGCCCAGGTCAGTAGGGGGCCCCATGAGATGCCCTTGGTACCTTTTTCATAGGCTTTTTTGAGTTTGGGCAAGGACACAGGGGCCCCATGATCCCCTATTACCTGGGGGTCCCATGAGTTTTCAGTCCGCCCCTGGCAGCACCTGTGTAGACACAGTTGCCCATCCTAATTTGACAATGTAGGGACGTGTAAGTGGCCCTAAATGCACACTATCAGCATTCTGGGCTGAGCACCCACCCCTCCATTTCTGTCAAATTAGGGCAAGTGGCTGTTTCTGTTCATCCACTACATTCCTATATAGGCACATATATTTCCTGCACACTGCTCCTGGAGGCTCCAATTGTGTAAATAAATTACTGATTCACAATGTACAGGCCACAGCTCCCATGGAAATACCGTTCTACTGTATTCAAAGACTAGATTATGAAAGGACTCTTTAAATATAGTCATTTACAACACGTTTTTGGTTACATTGATAAATAGCTAGTAAAAAGAAAGCAATTGTGATAAGATTTTAAAGAAATGATCTTGGTCTGTTCAATCCAAACAAATGTAGTTTGACGTAAAAGGTGTGAGATGAACATAAATAAAATGTATGACTTTTACACCACAGGTTGGAAGAAAACTACATTGTATGTGAAGGGGTATGCTTGCCAAGGTGTATACTTTATGCGCATTATCTAGATTTCTGCAGAAAGGAGAAATTGGAGCCAGCTTGTGCAGCAACTTTTGGAAAGGTACTTTGTTTTTCGTATACACTTTAGAAATGGACTGCGTTTTGTAGTTACAGGCTTGCCAGCAATAATTTATCGCTATTACATAATGTTTGTGCAACTTCACTTTTGTTGAAAAATTCTCTCTTTGCAATGTATATAACATTATAAATGCATATAAAATGGTTATAATTATGTATAAAGTTATATACATTGCAAGGAGTTTTAGCAAACACACACATTTCTACCTACTGCTATTTCTCTTAGACAAACTCATCATTTTCACTTATTTTCTTGCTTCCTGAGGGCTAGGTGAGAGGGTTGGCCTGCTATAGTCACATGATCAATGATCAATCCTAGGGATATCATTAGAAAAAAGAAGTCAGAAAATCAAATGAACAGGAGATGTATACAATGTAGAATATTCCCATTGTTTTCATGTTTTCTGTGGTTAGCAAAGTACCATATTTGACTATTTTGAGCTTTAGATGTTAGAACTGGCTGTAGATTTAAAGGGACGATGTGCTGTAAAGATCCAACTATTCTGAACAGTATGAAAAAGTCAGGGGGGCAGTATGAGAGAGATATAGGATGACAGCTCCAGGGTGAGCTTATCTGTGGTGGAACTATAGTAACCTATCAGACTGATTGTTTTTTACTGACTGGCTGTTAGCATGGTTTTGTTTGTAGGTGCCATAGACATGAGATGGTTGCTGAAATCAGTTTTTGATTGTCAAGTCAGAAGACACCCATGTCACAATTATAGCCATCCTTACTTCTAGAGTTCTAGAGGCTCAAGGTTTTTTACCTTCATGTATTCTATGCATGAAGGTAAAAAACCTCCTGTGCAGCCTCCCAATACTGAGCTGAGCCTCATCTTGATCCAGTGATGTGCTCGAGAGCCTCGGCTGTCAAGGGTTTCTCTTATCTCATTGGCTACCACTACCATCAATCATAGCCAGTGAGCCAATGAGGAAAGAGCAGAGGGTGGGGCCCAGACACATCTGTCTCTGAATCGATACACAGAGCAGTGGCTCAGGAGCAAGTCTGCTTGAGTGCCCCCACAGCGAGCTGTTTGCTATGGGGGCATTTGGCAGCAGGGAGGGGCCAGGAGTGCTCACGGGGGACCCAAGAAGAGGAGGATCAGTGCTGCTCTGTCCACTGCAAAGAGCAGGTAAATATGACATGTTTGTTATTTAAAACAAATCTGCCTTTACAATCACTTTTTAGGATCCAGTTTAAGTTCTTCTGTCTTCAGTCTGTGAACTACTAGTGTCAACTCAGCAACCTGCATTTGCTTGTAGGAGTGAAATAAATTAGGAGGAAGATCACATTCAGTACATGGAATTAAATTGTTTTATAATACAAGTGACTTTGGGGGTCAATTTATCAACGTTTTCAACCAAAATTCACACAACTTTTCATTCAGATTAGAAAGTGAATCTTGGAGGAAAGTTGTGTGACTCTTAGATGAAAAGATTGATGAATATAATCTCTGAGTACAAAATTCAAATGTTTGCATCAGAGACCAATAAAGCAATCTGTTGGCTAGAGATAGACCCAGTGACTAACCTTTGGGGTTTGGGAATCCTTTTAGCCCAAGCCTGTCTTTAAATAATAAAAGACTTGAGTTTTGAAACAATCTGGAATGCAAGAACATGTCCAAAGCACATGAAATGTGTCTACAGATATATAACATATTTGACATGCAGCATGATTTGTTAAAGAGTAACTCCACTTTTGTTGAGAAATAAACATTCCCCGCTAAGTGATCTATGTACATTGCAAGGATTTTAACAAACGTTGTTCCAGATTCCTACCTTTTGTTATTTTGAAGAAATAGCTGTTTGTTTGTCTGGGTTCATGTGCAAAGTGAATGTGAATGGGAGTGACTTTTTCATTAGTGATCAGCTGTTGCACTTGTAGGGCTCTAATGAGGAAAGATGCAGGGTCTACATTCCTTTAGACTGGAAAAATCAGTGGCCAATCACCCAAGCAGCAAATTACATTTTGGGAGGGGGGGGGGGGGGGGGGGCGTTCTGTGCACCATCTGAAAAACCCAGCTGTGAAAGTACTTGTAGGACAATAAGTGAAAACTGGTTAAGGCAACAGTTTTCAAAATGAAAATGAGGTTTCTGAAAACAGGTTATTTGGGACTAATGTTTCTGTTGGATAATGAACTTCTCCAGGACAATGGTGTAACTTCAGTTTTCTGATCAAGCCGAAATTACTTCAAGTCAGAAGTCATTGATTAATTATCATATTTAGGTATTCAGTGTCTTCCTTATGACATCATATGTGTCAGAAAGGAAATGAAATGTAAGAGGCAGAAGAGTAATAAACTGCTGGCAGGTGGCTGAAAATCTCATAATTTTAGCATTTGCCAGAAGGTCAACTATACATGGGCTGGTGAGAACTACTAAGGGCTTCTCTACTGCACTTATTTTAATAATATGATTGTAAAAATCACTGAAATGTTTACTTTACAGCTAGGCACTTTTACTGTTATACATTTGGTAATGGCACTGCTACAGATAAAGACAGCGGATAGTGTACATAAATATTACAATTAGTAAACTATGTGGGGAATATTTATAAAGCAGTGAATGCGACATTCAATAAATTTGCAGTACAGGTGAATATGCATCTTACATTACAGGGAATGATTCATTACAGTAAATGATTCACTTCCTGTGAATGTTTGGTAAAATATTCACTGTTTTATAAATAAATACGCCCTTATGTGTTAATAATTTCAGTATACTGTAAATCAGTGCACAAACAGAGTCTCTCCCCACAGCAGCAGGAAAAAATACCACCTCCAAATGAATGTCCAAAATATATATATATATATATATATATATATATATATATATATATATATATGTTTTAATGCTTGACAAAAAGGAAAGGTCCTTGGTGCACAGTACTTAGGAACTTCTCTTCCTGTGTGTTTAATGCATTAAACTCTTATCTGATTCTATAACACCTGGTGAATGTGGGTCGAAAAAAGCTTCATTTCAAAACCACTTTTTTGTTTTTCTATAACATTCCCAATTTTCAATAACCACGTTGATTCCACAAAATTTGAACTTAGATGAGTAAATGCTACATTGAAAATGTGGGATTGGTTATATGGGATGGTGAACAAATGGGACTTAGTGGTATGCACTTTTATTCACAGTCAAATGTGAGCACATTTTATGAACATTTATTGATTGAATGGTCAAGACTATATTGCACTATTGAGCATCTTGTTTTTTGGGGGATTAATAACATCATGAAAACATCTGAGGGCTGGGAAGTTTCTAAGAATAGAGCAGGATTGAAGTTGAATTATGTATGATTTGAAGATATTTTATATTTTGTAAGAGTATATGGACATGTGAGAGTGAAGAACAAATACGGAACTCAGTGTTGTGTGGCACATCATCACTCATACACTATATTGGCAAAAGTATGGGGACACCTGCCTTTTACACGCACATGAACTGTAATGGCATCCGAGTCTTAGTCCGTATGGTTCACTATTGAGTTGGCCTAACTTTTCAGCTATAACAGCTTCAACTCTTCTGGGAAGGCTGTCCACAGGGTTTAGGAGGGTGTCTATGGGAATATTTGACCATTCTTCCAGAAGCGCATTTGTGAGGTCAGGTACTGATGTTGGACAAGAAAGCCTGGCTTGCAGTCTCTGCTCTAATTCATTCCAAAGGTGTTCTATTGGATTGAGGTCAGGAAGCCAGTCAAGTTCCTCCACCCCAAACTTGCTCATCCATGTCTTTATGGACCTTGCTTTGTGCACTGGTGCGTAGTCATGTTGGAATAGGAAGAGGCCATCCCCAAACTGTTCCCACAAAGTTGGGAGCATGAAATTGTCCAAAATGTCTTAGTATATGATGACGCCTTAAGCGTTCCCTTCACTGGAACTAAGAAGCCAAGCCCACCCATGAAAAACAACCCCACACCACAATCCCCCCTCCACCAAACTTTATACTTGGTACAATGCAGTCAGGCAAGTATCACTCTCCTGACAAGTGACACATCCTTCGGATTGCCGGACCAGGAAGCATGATTCGTCACTCCAGAGAACACGTTCCACTGCTCGTGTCCAGTGGCAGCGTGCTTTAGACCACTGCATCTGACCTTTTGAATTGCACTTGGTGATGTAAGGCTTGGATGCAGCTGCTTGGTCATGGAAACCCATTCCATGAAGCTCTCTATGCACTGTTGTTGTTCTAATCTGAAGACCACAAGAAGTTTGTAGGTCTTTAGCTATTGACTCTGCAGAGAGTTGCTGACTTTTGCACACTGTGCCCTTCAGCATGTGCTGACTCCACTCTGTCATTTTACATGGCCTACCACTTCATAGCTGAGTTGCTGTTGTTCCCAGTTGCTTCCACTT